CAAATTAAAGAGTACTCTTTAAAGTTTGTCCTAGCTTTCGGAAATTTAATGAATTGTTTCCATCATCAGGGATGCTACAAAATGGTGCGTGTAAGTAAGTTGAGGATGTTTCATACGATGGTTATGTAAAATATTGGGCACATAGTGTCGGATGAGCATTGATACAATACATTTACAGCAAGTTATGAGTGCTCGTCCAATAACTTCTTTTCATCGATAAAACCATGTCAGTCAATACCCATCATTCATGTTGATTTATCCTGACCCGGATGTCATTCAGGTTGCTATAGCTACAGCTGTGACGAAGTTGGGAGTTGGTCCTTGTAAACACAAGATCTTCCGACGATGACACGAAACCGCAGTTGGCCCCTGATGGCGAATCCGCTTGTTTGATTTCGACTTTTTTTCACAACCAAGTGTTGCCTATCCTATACACTTGGCTGTACCGTACTGACGAAGGCTAAATAGCCAGAAACACGTGTCTGCCAATTTTGATAGAACATTGATTCACTGAGGATACACTACAAAAACACACGTTTGTCTATTTTTCACGATATTTCCTTATTGTTGACTAGTTTCGACTAATACACCATTTTCAAAACTAGTTAGTTTTGAAAATGGTGTAATAGTGTAATAATATATAATGGTAAACTAGTTAGTTTTGAAAATGGTGTAATAGCCGAAACTAGTCAACAATTAAGAAACTATCGTGAAAATACACAAAAGTGTGTTTTTGTAGTGTATTCTCAGTGAACATGAATCTCCACAAAAAAAACAAGTCGTCAATCAAAAAAGGAAAATTGATTCAATTTACACAGAATTACATAAACTTCGATTCAAAGTTTTTCGAAATTGAATAACAGTTTTCGTAACCATATTACACTGGATGTTGAATTTCGCTTGGCAAAATATTGTTCCAGTTCAGATTCCTTCCTCAGGAGAGTAGTCATGTTTGATCGAAATTGATTGAGCATGATTGTTAAGTAGCTATTAACATTTTGGTTTGAGACAAAGATCAATTTTTATTCCTATTTTCAAGTTCACTCCGGGAAAATACTGATATTCCTTGTCTTTACCTAATTATAATTTTTTTCCTTAAAATGTTTTTCATCTAAATTGTCACCTAACTCTTGAAGGGAAGCAGCCATAAATTTAAAACTATCGATGAACCTTAATTTCAAAAACTTATTTTTCGTCACTCCATTGTGATCTACTATTCTCTCCATAATTATATGTTTCGTGAAGGAAACATACTTTTCTTTAGTTTGAGCAATGACATCAACTTTTGTTTTGTTTGTGCATAACTCTTTTATGAACAAATGACAGTCATACCCACTGAGATTATGAAAAATTATGGGTATAAAGTTGGGCAATTTGAAATTGAGGTTACAAATACTATGTGCAGCTCCATTTCTTTTTTTCCCCGTTAGATGGCAGTGGTCACGCACCTTAATATCACCATCACCAAATGGTTCTCCACATATACCACATGTGGCGGCAATATTGAAATCATGCTCTTCCTCATCAGTCAATGGACTCATTGGAATGACTTTCTTCAAATATTTGTGATAAATATTGGTGACATCAGCCTCCAAGTTTGACACAAACACTTTAGCTGCATC